GTTGGCCATCATTTTTCTGTTCACAGCTCCTAGAGATGGACCTTTCCTTCTACAGGAGATTAACATCCTCCTTTGTGGTACCTGTCCTTAGAAAATGGCCCTGGCTAAGACCTAGCCAGTGATTGACACCTCCCATCCCAATGCAGAGCTGTGGAGCAGTCACTGCCACTCAACCCAGCAGGGGTCTTCTGGAACACCTCTGAACTTCTTCCATGACACTCATTCCTATTTTATCCTTTGTGATTTTCCTACTGAAATTACTTGCCAGATTTTTGGGGGAGGGTCATGGAGGAAGACTAATCATTTCTTTTCTTGGCTATCAATAATTCTTTAGAATGCCCCAAATAACAAGGATATGCTTCTTTTAGCCGGCATAAATATTACATGTCTTGTTCTCAGGTTGTCATTTGACTTTTGAGTATTTTCAGACTCTTGTTAACATAAGAAACATACTTTGACAGCATAGTTATTAATATGCATTGTATAATTTAAGAACTTGATTTTTATGGTTGTTATTATTTTCTAGTTTTAGTAAATTTGGTTTCAAAAACATATAAAACCAAACCTATACAAATTTTATTCATTAGAAGACTTATTTGTGTTACACTGTAATTTAGCTTATGATCACTTTATAAATCCATGAGCATTTGAACAGAAATTTTGAAAAAATTATATAGTTGCCGTATTGGGTTTTCTATTGATTGATCTATTTGATTGACCAAGAAATAGATCAAAATGTTTAGATCCCATCATATTTTCCTTTTAAGTCTCTTGTCTTGAGGGACTTTGAATACAATTTTTAATGGCCAATTTGGTCTACTTAATGGTTATATTTTTCAGTTTGGCTAAAAATCTACTTTGAAACAATCCCATTATTTTTTGTAACAACTGTTTTCTGTTCGCTTGCATTTTCCTTATTGTGTCTTTGTTCCACGTGTTATTTGTAAGGTTACTGAGTTATTCTGCCGTAGGTGTTTATCTTACTGCGTACAATTAGACTTTGATTATTTAGACAGTCTGGGTGTTTTCCTCTATTTTAACCCATTTATATTTATTGTCAAAACAGAAACATTTTTTCTTGGGTTTGTCATTTTTTATTTCACAGTGTGAATGCTTTTCTGCTATTTCTTTTGAAATATATTTACTTTATATTCTTTATTTTCTTTTTGTCTGTGGACTTTACTTTGGCTTTTCCATTGAATGGCTTAAGCTCTCTCTTTCTCTCTCTCTTTCTCTCTCTCTCTCTCTCTCTCTCACACACACACACACACACACATTCTCACACAGAGATACGCAAGTTGACACCTGGTTCTTTATAGAATAATTTCTATAGTTTTCCCCTTCTGCAGGATGAAGAAAATATCATTTTTTATCTCTGCATGCTTTTTTTTTTCAGATCATGCACAATCCCATGTGTTAATTTTCTCTGAAGGACTGTACACTTTTTGGAAAACGTTTTTCTATGGTGGTCATTATGCAGAAGCCACTATGTTGTTGTATGTCTGTCACTCCCATCATCATTTTATAGACCTCTCAGATTTCACTGATGATCTTATCACCAAGGAAACTGTTTCTTCCCAGCTATTGCCACCTTATTTTCCTGCTCTCTTAGTATAATCATTAGCGCTCTGGGGTCCACTGAGAGCTTTAACCTTTAAATCCACTGGCCTGAACAACATGGTTCCCTGTGGAAATTTCCTATTGATCTCAGCACCTACTTTATTGTCCAACCACAGGCTTGAGCTGAGTCTAGTGATGGGACAGGGGATTCATCTTGGAGGTCATCACTGTGGTAGATATGAGAAACAATTATAGGCTGAATTAAATACTAGCATTGATACCTGACTGGCTTCAACAAACAAATGGCTGTGATGGAAAAACAGGGGCATATTTGAGAAAATCTACTAAGGTAGAGTCAAAAAGAAACTGAAGATAAGGGATGAGGTTGAAAGAGAAGCCAATATAGGTGCTCAGGACTCCAGCTATGATTAGTGGGGAGGGAATAGCACTATATTTTAGGAGGGACAAACCATTGGGTGTAAGGTAGAACACTGAGGGAAAGAAAATAGGCTCAGAACTGTTACCTATAGATTGCGTATGAGGAAACTTCATGATATGTATAATAATTCAGGACCATGAGCTGGTTAGATGATGCTGATTGATGCTCTGAGGAAAGTCATGGGACACAGAGCTGGGGTTGGTGTCACCAATGAAATGGCAGCGACTGAATCCACTAATCCTAGCTGCAGTCCTGGGCACCTATATGGGCTTCTACTTCAACCTCATCCCTTATCTTCAGTTTCTTTTTGATTCTACCATAGTAGAATTTCTCAAATATGCCTCTGTTTTTCCATATCTTTTATAGATGGATTATAGGAAGCAGTCAGATGATGAGTAGAGGAGACACAATCTCCAAAGGGATGGAGAAGAAGGAATGCCTATAAACTTATGGCAGGATGGTCTCGTAGATATGAGAAAAATCAAATATGAAATATCCTCTGAGCCTAAGCAGAGATGGAAATAGAGAAGCTGTGGATACTGGCAATTTCTGAAGCGTGTTTAAGAAGTAATAACAATTATAGTAGACATTTATTGAGAATGCCATGTGTGCACCATTCTCAATAGGATCTTAATTCTCTCCACCTGAAAAGTTATCTAATGGGGTCAATATTGCAGAGAAACTGGGGCTCAAAACACAGAACTCTTTCTTCTTCTTTTATATGTAATATTTTATTTATGTATACAGATTTTTTTGTCTACATATTCCAGAAGAGGGCATCAGGTCCCATTTGACTACAGTTATAGAAGGTAGTTAGCCACAATATGGTTGCTGGGAATGGAACTCAGGGTCTCTGGAAGAACTGTCTATGCTCTTAACTGCTGAGCCCTTCCTCCAGCCCCACCATCTTCCTTCTGAAACTAGGAAAGAGATTTGGAGAATTTTTATCAGATTTAGTAATTAAAATATTAGTGTCTGTCATAAAAACAGTCTTGAGAGAGATATTTGTGACTGATTGGGATTTATTTTTTTCGAGGCAGGGTTTCTCTGTAGAGCTTTGGAGCCTATCTCGGAAGTTGCTCTGTATCCCAGACTGGCCTCAAACTCACAGAGATCTGCCTGCCTCTGCCGCCCGAGTGCTGGGATTAAAGGCATGTGCCACTACCACCTGGCTACTGATTGGGATTTTTATACTTAACATTTTGTGAAGGAATTAAGGAAGTGATATGAATGGCTTTATTAAACTACTAAGGATTGTGGTTGAAATACAGTTGACCACAGAGAAGAGCTTCCTACAAAGAGGTTGTTTTTTAGTACTAGGAAAGCTGATACCATTTATATATGTTAAGGTCAGAGGAGAAAAGGGGAGAGCCTAGAAATGCAGAGTAGCAAAAGAAAGTCAAGAAGAGCCAAGATTCTGCAAACTTCAGCAGGAATCAGCCAGGTTCAAGGATATTGACTTACTCGCAGAGATTGTGATTGGTGTGGAAGAAGGGTAGGTTTGGGTTAAAAAGGGAGAAGTCAGCCCCTCCCTTATCTTGAAGCTTTAGTGCTTTTTTGTATTGGGTGAGTGGAAGATACAAAGAGAACACAGGGTAGGGCTTGTGGCTGGAGAGGGACGGTCCACAATCAACTTGACAGGGTTCAAAAGGAGGTGCAAAGGAACTAGTTTGATAGGGAGAATCACATTGGTGATTAGCCACCATGGTAGAAGGAGCCTGGGCCTGGAGAGAAGGTCGGAAGGTCTAGGTGAATACACAGACTCCAGGGAAGTGCAAATGCGGGTACTGTGTGGGTCTAATGAACAGAGGAAAGAATTGTGAGCTGGGAGAGGATTGTAGGGTTAGAATCTAACAGAGGATTGCAAAGTGGCACGTCCAAGTTTGGGAATGTAGCTGATGTAGATGAGGACGTGTGAATTAGTACTGTAAAAGGTCCTGGCCATGGGGCTCACAGGGGGACTCATTCCTCCTCAGTGAAGAGGGTGGGAAGACAAGGGAAGCCGAACTATAACATCCTTGTGGAAGTAAAAAGTTTTGGTAGGACTCCGAGTAGAGAAGAGAAAAGTTCTTGCTTCCTTCCGTTTCTGGATAGATTGCTACTAGTCTCTAGGAGGTGTGATGAAGACATCCGGGTATCCTTAGGAAATGGCTTAGCCTGCAAAGTGCTTGTTGTGTGAACACAGGGACTCGAGTTTGAACTCTGTCACCCCTGTACAAAGGAGGAAGGCTTTTAGTGACACAGTCTTATAGTCCCAGTGCTGGACAGGCGCAGACAGTCTAGCTTAACTGGAGAATTCTACGCCAAGTGAGAGACCCTATCTCATAAAAGAAGATCAGTGGCACCTGAAGAATGACAACAGAGCACACTTGCAAACACACACACACACACACACACACACACACACACACTCTCACACACACAGAGACACTTAGGAAATTCAAGTTGACTATAGAGTCCCATCAGGATCAACTCTCCTTGGCTTACACTGTTTTCCAAGACAGTAAGGAAATGGGGCTATTTATAATAGTTCCTTCTGTAATTCTTTTGGAGCCGCAATGAGGGAGGTACTGATGGGGACCCAGGATCTTATGTTATCTCTGAAATCCATTAAAAATGTTCTACTTGGCTGAGTTCTATTGCTGGTCACCAGAGTGTAGATTTTTTTTTTGTCTTGTTTGGAAACCCAAGTCAACTGGCAGGATGTCACACGATTTCTAATTGGTCTTAATAATAAAAATCCAGAGTCAGGTATCAGGGTAAATGCTGAAAGATCAGAGATGTAAACTAGCGAGACATTTTATCTCGACCAAATCCTCAGACGGAGGGGGACAAGATCCTGTCTCTGTGAACCCTCAGACTGAATGCTTGAGCTCTGGTGTGCTTTCCTACTGTGAGGCACTGGTGACTGACACAGAAAGGGACTGGGGGCTGCGTGGCTTCTTCAGGTGGATATGGACAACTGCTTCTGTGAAACTGATGTCAGCCCTGTGTATTGCAGGTGATATTTGAATCCGTCTCTTTGAAGGGTCATCCTGGTTACATCGCTGTGGACGAGGTCCGGGTCCTTGCTCATCCATGCAGTAAGTCTCTCCATTTCTCCTAACACATCCTTTCTCCGTGCCAGACTGGGTAGTCGCAAGGATGCAGTGCCCCTATTCATTCAGCTCACAGCCATCTCCCTTGCTCTCTTTTAATCTTTCAAAACTGCTTACACACCCAATGCAATCAGTCCTGAAGAAATCCATAATTTTGCTGGCCGGTTCAAGAGGCAGCACCTTCAGGAATTTGCAGAGACTGGCAAAAACAATTTGTCTGAATCTCTCTCCATTAGTAAGAGAGTCTAAAGTCCTGATTGTTTATTAGTGGGATTCAGACCACTGAAGTGGATAGAATCTTCTGCAATTGTCTTTAAAAAAAAACCGAAATAAAAAAAGAACAACATTAAACATGAAACAAATTAGCATACTCTTTATCCACAAGGAAAAGGACCCCAGAGCTATTAATTCTTTACAAATAACTTTAAATACACTTATCAGCACTGTGTAGGTGTAGGGCAAGATTACCATGGTTTATACTCATCGGACAGTGTCAAGTCCTCAGTGGCATGCCTCTCCTCCTTGAAGTTTCCCTCTTTGTCGCATTCAGTCAAAGACACTTGAATGTGCCTCAGTAGGGGCCACACAGCTCCTGTGCAGCCAAGTCCCGGGTACAGGCAGTTGTGCTGATATTATACCTCATAGGTTGGAAGACTATAGTCTGGGGATGCCTAAGGGATCATGGAAGCCACTGACAGAGGTGGCTGGGATGCCAGGTCCCCATTTGGAAGCCCTGTGTTTTATATTCCTATCAGTTTCTTGGCAGATATTTAGTTCTAGGTGACTCTTAGGGGTTCCTCAAGTCCCCCATGTGATCATAAGACATTGAGTTAAATAGATTTTAGTAGGATGAAATACCCATGGCAGACTGACATTTAAAAAAAAAATCTTAGTTTTTTCTTTCACAATCTCATTCATGTAATGTAATGTATCTTGATTATATATCTTGATTACATTTATGTATTAGTTCCCCCCAGGATCCCACATTACATCTCCCTCCCAGCTTCAAATGCTTGCCCCCCCCCATCGTGCACGTGCATGCGCTTATTAATTAATTAATCAATCAATTATTTAAAAACCCACAGAGCCTAATTAAAGCTTTCCGTATATATGTGGTTGTTGAGTTCATCCTTGGGGTATGGGGAACTGCCAGTGATCACACCCCTAGAGAAGAGAGAAACTTCCTGTCCCCATGGCACATTACAGCCATCAGCTGCCAATAGTTCCCCGTTCAGGAGTGGAGGTTCTAGGGAGCCCTTACTCTATTCTTGCTAGAGTTTTTAGCTGAATAGATTTTATGCAGGCCATATGTAGGACACCACGGAGAATATGAATTCACTTGTACAACAGCCACGCCCAAAGGACAGCAGCTCACGCCCACCCCTTATCTTCTCCCTCTTCCATTCCCCCAGGCTCCTCTTCTGTTGTGTTTCCTGATTCTGGGGAGGCAGACTGCCATCGACATCCCATATATAGCTGAGTTGTTCCTTTTTCAAGGTTTTGTAGAATTCTGCAGTGAACTCATCCAGTGCTGGCCTTACTTTCAGTTGGGAGACTTGTAATTACTATTTCAATCTTGTTGCTGGTTAGGGACCTGTTTAACATTTTTCATGTCATATTGATTTAATTTTGGTATGTTGTCTGCATCTAGATTTTTCCATTTCCTTTAGATTTTTTTTTAATTTAGTATAGTGGGGGCTTTAAAAACATGTTCTTGTTATTTTCTGAATTTCATTGGTATCTGTTCTAGTGTTTCCCAAATCATTTCTAAATTTACTAATATGTGTCTTTTTTGTATTTGTTTGAGTAAACTTGTCTACCAGCTTGCCAATCTTATTGATCATTCCCAAGAACTATCTCATTGTTCTATTGATTATTTGTAGTAGTTTTTCTACTCCATTAATTTCAGTCCTGATTTTGATTATCTCTTTCCATCTACTATTTGGGCATCATTAGGTTATTTATTTGAGAATTCTCAATATTTTTTTTTATTCAGGCACTTACTGTTATAAATAGTACTTTTAGTACAAGCAAACTAGCTTTGTAAAGAAAAGAGGTTTATTAGCTCACAGTTTTTGGAGGTTCTTCAAGGGCATAGGCTTGGGCCTGGTGATAGTGTTCCAGCTTGTAGAGTCTGGGGGCAGAGCAGAACATCATATGGAAACACAGAGGGAGGACACACATGGATTCAAAGCTCTGTCTAACACCAGGATTGAATTGTTCATGCTCCACTGTGAAGAACTTGTCCACGCCTTACCTAATTCTGAAACAGCCCATTCTAAATGTCACTGTCAGACACTACCCTCTTGGTGTCACTTGGCTTTGGGGACTCAACTTTGGTGTGAGTTGGGAATACAAATCATTCACGCCAAACAGTTAGGCTATGGGTAATGGAGCAGCTTACCACCACCTCAAGAGGCATCCTGAATACTTCTCCATGTACCTTTTAATAGCCACACACGACCACTCCCCGACACACACACACACACACACACACACACACACACACACACACACATCTGAGCATGAGTCTCAATCAGCCCCACTGTGTTCCTGTCATTGAAATGGATCTTTCTGCTTCTGTTGCCATCCGTTTGTCAGATCTTCTGTTATCATTTCCCTCCCACTTCCGGGGAGAAGACCACCATGAGCTTAAAGCACTTTCTCTGGAAAAATTTTGGCCAGTTCCAAGTTCCAGACAATATTTGGGGGAACGGGGTCTGATGTCTATGTAAGAGACGCGCTCTCTCTCAGTGATAAACCAGCCACTCAGAAACACAAGGTAGACTAGGTTCCCTGTTGTTCTTGCTGTCGTCTGGGTTATGTCTCAAGTCCTTCAGAGTGTCTTAGGTGGCTCTGTCCACTGACTCATGCTTGGGAAATATCTCTGCGGAAGTCACAATCATGTGAAGAGGATCCAAAATTCACAGCAATGCAGGGTTTCAATGGAAGACATACAGATGGGTTCCCCTTGCCTGTCCTGACTGTCTCCCTCCCTTGATCCTCGTGAGCCTTATCAATGTCAGATACCCACTAGGGAATGATCTGTATTCTAAGACTGGACAGTGGTGTCAGGAGCACCTGTTCTTCTCCCATCATTTAACTACACACTCAACCCTATGCATTCTTCAGTGTTGAACAGTCTCCCCCATGAACCTTTTATCTTCCTTTCCTCCTGCACATGTCTATCGCCATAGAGCACACCCACCATTGCTGCCCAAGCTCGTTGTTTTTATGCCTGGACTTGATCTTTCTTGGTGACCCTTGGTTTTCTCCAGCAGAATACGGCATGCTGGTCTGACCTGGGGTCCTAGCACTCATGCTCCTGTTGGAAACCTCCCTTTCACCATAATACTTTGATGTTCATCTGCTGGCCAACCTCACTGTCTTATCTCCAAGTCCTGTCCATCGCCAGCAGGCACTCCCTTCTCTTCGCTGTGTCGCTGGAGGAGAGAACCCCTGGAGCGCATTTGGATGGCTTTCTACCTACAAAGCCATAAGGATCATTGGGAACTTTCCCTATTTTCACTAGGATGTCTGGGAATTTAAGATTCTCCTAATAGCCCCATCCTCCTCCTGCCGAGAAGTGTGGATTGCACGATTATAGAATTGCTGAGAGTCGGTTACCCAGCAAATGGACCATGGGCTATAACTCTAGGAGACATGACCTTGGCTTTATTTCCGCATGGCATATTGTAGAAGTGTTCAAGCCCAGCGCTCAGGAGGCTTAAGCACATCCTTGCCAGAAAACACAATGAGAGACCCATGAAAGAGTAGCTGGAGCTGGAGAGAGTCGCACTAAGGAGATGTGCAAACACTGTCAGGGTGTGTAGTCCCCTGAGGTACACCCATGGGTCCTACGCTCAGTCACTGATAGCCCAGGATTTTACACTTTCTTTATTTCAGCAAGTAACTTATTGATTGTGAGCAGTGTGTTTTCTTGAGCTTTTCTGGGCGTAGCAGATAGTTAAGTAAGAAAGGGTTGGCACCTGTGCTTGTGTTTAACAAGCAGGGGGCGAGAAGGAAAAAGAAATTGAGTATCTAATACTAGATCAGCAATGGATGATTTGGGATATGGGAAAGTGTTGTGAATAGAATAAATATGGGAAGTGGGACCCTCAGGACTCCTTAAATAGTGTGGTCATGGAATGTGGCTTCAAAGATATGACCAGAGCTGGGACTCTAATCATGGAAAGGAGTTTGCTTTCTGAAAATCTGGGAAGGGGGCTTCTAAGGTGTTGGAACATCAAGAGCAAAATCCCTGCACTGGGTAACAGCCCCATGCTGACAGTGTGTCCTGGTAGGTGGGGCACAGCAAACTATGTCCCAGGTGAACCTTGGGCAGGTGACCTGGGACCTCACCATTCAGGGCCTCATTGTGGGTGGATATTAGTCGTAAGTGTGGGGAGGCAATGCCAGAGGGCTTGTTTGGGGATGGAATGCTTTCAGTTAATTCATGAAAGGTGCTATCCCGTGAATGGGTTTAAGTCCCATGGGGGGATGGGAGAACTATAAGGAAGAACATTCTGGAGCTAGGCTAGACACAGTGGTGACCTGAGGCAGGGCAGTAACAGTCAGCTGCTCCTCACACAGGAAGTGATTACTGAGCTTGTCCTTGTCAGGCACTGTTCTGGGATCGTGGAGCTACAGGAGACAAACTCATTGTCTGTCCTCATAGGCCTCCAGTAAAGTGAGTGAGACGGAAGCAAAACCACCAATGCCACAATTATATTACGTGTAACAGATGGTTTATTGCTGCGCAAAGATTATGGTCCAGACATGCCAGAGACGAGGTGGCTTAAGTGATCACACTGCGTTTTCTAAGAGCCCTTGTGGATAGGAATTCAAGGTTAAGGTGTTGAAAAATTAACTTCGGAGATATCATCCTAGGCTGGCAATTTTTTTCTGCAGTGAAACTTCTCATGGTCTTTTCTCTCTGTGTAAAAGTCCTTGGTGTCTTTTTGTGTGTCTGGATCTCCTCTTCC